CTAAATATTCTTAAAATTAAAAGTTTGTTGTCATTTGGAAGTGTGTAGGCCTTCTTGCATTATTATGCTGTTACATTATGATGATATATTCAGTGGCATAAAATGGTCTTTAAAATGACAATAATATCGTTTATCGCAATTATTTCTGGGGCAATATATCGCACAACAAAAAGTTGTTATCGTGACAGGCCTAGACAGCACAGCACAGCACAGCAGAGGAGAGGAGAGGCGCTCTGAGCAGCTCTGTGTCTCTGTGGGTGTGGGAACCTTTCAGGTGTCTTTCTTTGACGTGGGAGGCACAAGGAATTAAATTCCACACTGAAGGTTTTAGAAGTATATAAATAAAGCTTGAGACCCCCAGAGAGAAGCAGCCCAGGGAATCTGATTAGTTGATCAGCCCCGGACCAGATCCTGTCACCAGGACCCACGGCGCTCTGACACCAGCCAGTGCTGCAGGGACCCGAAGGTGTCAGACACACTGAGATAAAAATAAAGCAGCAAGATCACTGTCTTCAAACAGTGTCACTCATTTGCCCCTCATCCACCAACCACACACACGTACTCAACCTTATTTTTCCTTCAATCTGAATCCAAAAGGGGAATTAACTTTTTTTTTTTTCAATTGTGCCTGCTGATGTATATCTGTATCTGAACACATTGTTTTAGGCCAGATTACACGTGTATACCAACATGTGGCATCTGGACACATCTACACACATATACGTCTTTAATTGATTTTTCAGTACATTTCTGCCATATGTACATTAACTGACAGTCACCACTGATAAGCTACCACTAAACATTGTAGAAACTTAATTTGCTGTAAAGTTGCTTTGCAACGATTTGTATCGTGAAAAGCGCTATACAAATAAACTTGAATTGAATTTAATATGGCGTTAAAACAATATATGTTCAATATATACATACAAATACTACCAGTCAAAAGCTGATATGCTTGATTTGGCGCTCAATTATTATTGGTACTAAGTTATTAATATTATTATCATCAATTTTGAAAACAGTTTTTGCCGCTTAATAGTTATTGTGGAAACCAGTATATATGTATGCATGCATGTGTTTATTCATATTTTGTGATGAAAAAAGTTCAAAAGAATTTGAAATATTTTATAACATTATAAACGTCTTTGTTACTTTTATTTATTTATTTCAATTTTACTTACCCTCAGACTTTTGAATGGTAATGTATCACGTTTTCCACAAAAAATTTTGCAGCAAAAACTGTTTTCAACACTGATAACGATAAAAAAAATGTTTTTTAAGCATCAAATCAGCATATTAGAATGATTTTTAAGGATCATGTGACACTGAAGACTGGAGTAATGATGCTGAAAATTAGCATTGTTATCACAGAAATAAATTACATTTTAAATATATAAAATAGAAAACCATTATTTAAAATTGTAATAATATTTAACAATATTACTGTTTTTGTTTTCCCTGTATTTTTGAACAAATAAATGCAGCCCTGGTGAGCAAAATATATCTTAATTAATCCAAGCTTTCCAAGGCCACCTGTATTTTTATTTTATTTTTTTACAAATATATAAAAACAACAGGTGGCCACATCTTGCCTGAAATTTATTTAAATGCTTTGATGCAACACATATTTGAGTTACTCAATTATTTACTTCATTTGTATTCTGCTAATTAATTTTTAGAAACCAGACATTTATTTACTATTATACTTTTGACATTTTCAGACCATAAACAAAAGTATAAAGACCAACCATGACCATGACTGAAATCCAAGCAACACTGGACCCCATTGATATTTACCAGAAGAATGTCACACAGATTTGGAATGACATGAGGCTGAGTAAATGATGACAGTATTTTCATGTTTGGCTAAACTATCCCTTAAAGTTGGACTGCAAATTATATCCAAATAAGACAGAGTTTTGCACATTAAAGTGGAGTAACAGTTTAGTGAGTTCGCCTCTGAGACTTTTTGCTCATATTTGTCTCTAGTTTATATAAAATTCATTGGAGATTGTGTTGTTACGTTGGCATTCTGCTAAAACTCCCAAGAGTGTGATCGTTTAGAGGCACATTTACCACAAGACAGCATCTCCTGCTTTTCACACTGGGTCTGTCAAGAGTGTCAATATTTATCTAGTTAAATATGCCGCCCGTCAGGAATAAACAGGGAAATGCAGAGACGTTTTCCCCCCACACTCTCAGGGGAAACTAAACACACATAATCAGCCAGTTACTGTCAGGCCAGCAGACACAACACAGATAGACAGACACATAAAGAAACACACACCCACCCACAGACAATCTGCTTTTCCTTCCTTTCTAAAAGTCAGGTTAGATGCCCAGGTCAAACGAAGGCAGAAATTTCGCAGTTCACCTTTACCTTTCTCAACAGCTTATGCCACTCAGCAACGTCAAATCGTGAAGTATTCAGATATGAGTGAACTACACAACAAGAACGCTGAGCTATGGATAAGTCAAGCACTTACACTGAGTCTCAGGATGACGGTTCCAGCGGGGGTGTTTTCTGGGACGTTGACGGTGTAGATGGGCTGGGAAAACACAGGGCTGTTGTCATTGATGTCTGTCACCTCCACCAGCAGTGTGATGGTGGTCCTGCGGGGGTCCACTGCTCCATCTGACGCCTCCACGATCAGATCGTACCAGCTCCGTGTCTCTCGGTCCAACGGAACCGCAGTGAAGATGCTGCCCGTGGCGTTTATGGTGAACAGAGACACAAAGGAGAGCAAACGGTATCGGACCTGACCGTTGAGCCCGCCATCAGGATCGGTGGCCTGAAAACAGAGACATGCACTCATGATCATGATTTTTTAAATATAGTATGTTCAACATTTTTTAGTTATTTGAATCATCTTTTGTTTTGATTTGCATCCATCAAGTTAAGTTGCTACTTTTAAATAATTGCTACTACTTATAAATAATTGCTACTTATAAATAGTTGCTACTACAAATAAATGGATTTCTTATGTCTTGATAAGCATAAGAAACTTTCAAAAACATTAAAACAATCTTACCTACCTTGAATATATACAGATTAGTTCCCTTTCAGTCGGTCACTCTCGACGTCACGTCGGATGACCGACGAATTGGGATCTCGCTTAGAGAGACCAATCTACTTCGAGTGTAAACTAAACGAGCCAATGCACATTGGCATGCGATTATTGCATCCAGCTGCCGCTGATCACAGCGTGAGTAGAAGCAGGCAGCAGATGCAGCGCATATTCAGCTTTTCGCTTCGGAGCCGAGCGGTTCTATCGTTCTGGTCCTGACCTTCTGCGTAGAGAAAAAACTACAGTCAAGCACGCTCTTTGTGGGCTCTCGTGCTGGTACTTCCCAGATTACTGAGTGCCCTGTTGGTTATTGTTTACTTCCTTTTTACTTATATATTTGTAAATATTTCTTTATTTGTGAAAAATACTGTAACAGGATTACAGAATCAAGTTGTTATCTAAAGTATAAGTAATGTTTATTATACACATTTATTTTTATAATTATTTTTCAAATTATTTCAAATTTCTTAAATATAAATATATAATTAAAATTATATATATATATATATATATATATATATAGGTTTTTGACTGCATCGACTTGTCGGTCGACCACTAATTATGATATCAAATTACTCAAATCGTGATATACAATTTTGGTTTCACCTTTACCAAGCATTCAGCACAGCCTTTACAATGGATAAATAAATAAATAAACAAACAAATAAATAAATAAATAACATTTAAATAATCACTGGCAGTCCTTTAGGGCAAAGAAATAAAGACTTGCTGAACTAATCTTAATTCCTGCGTGGTTACAGCGGCTCATTTGTATGTGTGCATGGGAGCAGTGCTCGGCTGTAATGGCTTCAGAGGTCCCTGCTATAATTCCTTCCTGTAGTAATTACAGATGCAGATGGGAAGAATAACTGGGGGGTTATTAGACAAGCAAGCCGGGTTGGCGACATGAACGACACAGACTCCAGGAGAAGAGAGGGGGAGAGATGAGAGGAGGGACAGGAAGATGAGGGGGATGAAGGGCCAAAATCCAAATGCGGGCGAATGGAAATAAGTGAAATGAAAAGAGCATGCCTGAGCCTTGAGAAATTACAGCCACATCCGAGTGCTGAGGAATGAAAGTGCTGCCCACGGCCCTCCCACCAGCAGCACTCATCAAACGTCCTGACAGCACACTTACATGCCATCTGCTCGCCTCAATAATTAACTAATGGATTGAAAATGTAAACTGAGTGATAAATAAACAAACAACACTTCACAATACGTAACTAAAAACCTGTTTCCTAACGTCACTGTTGACTGCTATTCAGTATCAGGAAACATTTCACCATTTTTAAAAAATTTTAATTCATCTTTTTGCCTTCACTAGATAATTTTTAAAAGTACATTTAGACCATTTACAGTCAGTTACTACATACACACTAAAGCTCATAAAAGATGCAAAATGCAAAAATATTAGGTGGAATATATATATATATATATATTTTTTTATGCATATATATATGTGTGTGGGGGGGTTGTATATATATATATATATATATATATATATTAAAAAGTTCAGTTCAGTAAGATTTTTCATTTTTGAAACAAGTGTCTTATGTCAGCAAGGCTGCATTTATCTGAACAAAAATACATTAAAAACCTAATATTGTGAAATATTACAATTTAAAATATCTGTTTTCCATGTGATTTTAAATATATTGCATAAATCTTTTGTAACATTATAAATATCATTACCGTCAATTCTGATCAGTTTAATGCAATTAAATAAAATAAAAGCATTAATTTTGTTAAAACAAAAATGTACTGACTTTGTTCATTCATTCATTATATAACATTACATATTACAGAGAAGCTGATTCAGTGAGAATAATTCAGTTGCAACATAACTTCATGGATGCAAACCAAAATATGATTTTTTTGCTTATTATTTTTGTTAAAGACGTGTTTTCTAGGAGTATTTGATGAATATAAAGTTCAAAGAACAGCATTTATTTGAAATGCATTTATTTTGCATTTCAAAATGGGGGGGGGGGCTTCAATAAAACAAAGCTAATTGTTTTATTGAAGCCTTGTTTGAAGCTCTCAGCGTGAATAGTATCTTAAAGGGGTCATATGATGCTTTTTTAAAGATCATTATTTTGTGTATTTGGTGTAACAGAATATGTTGACATGCTTTAATGTTCAAAAAACACATTATTTTTCAAATACTGTACATTATTGTAGGTCCTCTATGCCCCGCCTCTCTCAAACGCTTCGTTTTCTACAAAGTCCCTCCTTCCGACAAGCGCAGTCTGCTCTGATTGGCCAGCTGACCCAGACCAGCCAGGGGGCGTGGCAGAGTCTTAACTTTGATAAAGAATATCTCTTTGGTTTTGAGACTTTAGTCTTTGCAACTTCAGGGATCTTATCTATGCACAATCAGCTTGTAACACTCCAAAGAGAAAGGAAAACTTGAAATCGCATCATATGACCCCTTTAAGGCTTTTGGACACGTTAGCCTGTGGCAAACAACATGGCTGTAAGTGTCTGTAGAGCAGAAACACACTGATGTGCATTTGTGATGTGTGAAGTGTTTGTATGTGTATGCTTGTTTGTTGTCACAGCACAATAAGAATCCAGGTGGTTTTGATCTCCACAGGGATCTGTGTGTGAATTTGAGATTGAGGCCTCAAAGTTTGGTGAGTACCTGCTTGTTGTGAACATGGCAGACTACACAGAACATGAGAGGATGATGAAATAAAAAGAAAGATGATGGAAAGAGAGAGAACAGCTCATAGGGAGGGATCCATCTTGAGCAATGTCCAAGAAACAAATTTTTCGTTGTTTAGTAGTTACTTCATGAAAACAATCTCATGTCATATGAGGTCAACAAGCACTAAATGATTTCAATCACAATTTTATTCAAGCACGAAGGCACCGTTGGGTCACCTCACTCCTGTCAATCACATTGACACCAAACTCAGTGATCAAGACATCATAGAACAACAAATGAGCGGTAAAGAGCCGCATAATGACAACACGGCATTGTGAATGAAAGCTTAACGCATCTTTCATTGATTATCTTTCTTACCAACCAAAGCATGATTAATCAAACACGCTAATTAAAAATCTAACAGCTTGGCAGGGCGGAACAGAAGCAGTCATAAGGGACTGATTGTAAGGTGACTAATGACTCTAATTTACCATGACTTAATTAGGGAACAATAGAAAGTGATGTCTGAAGATCTGTGCGGCACGACAGTTAAAGGGGCGGCAGGTGTAAACCTCACGGGACCCTCAGAAGCTAAAAATCTCACCAAAACTAAAGATACTTTACTTATTTTGTCATGGAACTTACCCTGACTTGACCCACGAGCACATTGGTCTCTTCCTCCCTCACGGTCAGATTTCTGGGAAGAGTGAGGTCGAAGGTGGGGTCGTTGTCATTAACATCCGTGATGACAATGCTGACAGTGGCTGTGGAAATCTACAAATATAGACAGATTAATTCAATATCAACAGGAATTAAATATATAAGAATGGCAAGTTACCGGATCAACATTCTTGTTGGTCCTGAAACTAAATTATTTTGCTATCTTATAAATCTGTAATTATGAAGGATGAAGATGAAGGTCTTTGCAGAAAATGTAGGGAGGAATTGTTAGTTTGTTTGTGCCTATAAACCTACAAAAAGCACAGCCCTGACAGATCTGAACCCTGGAGTTCAGTGTGCACTTGCTGTCAAACCCTGAACCTTTCACAGTATTCACTCTGACATTCACCCTGCTGCTGTCTGTCAGTCTTTTTTTTTTTTTTTTTTTCTTTTTTTTATATTAAAATTCTTTTGTGCATCCCTACATATATGCCTTCTTAAAAATGCATATATGCTCTCATTTCCTGTTTCAGTCACAAACATGCCCCCCTAAGCTGGAGTCTTGGCAGAGTCTGAATTTTGGCACAGTCGGTGTGGCCTGACCAGGAATGATTCAGGTATCATTCTGTTGAGCAACACAAATCATTCCACCAAACAAACAGTTTGGAGCTGTGTAAAATGATTATGTTTTAAGAGGTTGAAGGTCAGGTAAATTACATTGATTAATTAACCTCTTTGCACTTTCCATGACCATGATCTGGAATGGAAATGATTTAATGGACTTGTTTGACAAGATGAAAGTCATTTTGCCCAGTCATGTTGCGCAGGGAAAGATTAAGGCACGTCCTTCTGTCTCAAAATGCTTTTTACATGCCTGTCTTTCTTGAAAACTCCCTCCTCATCAGCTCTACAGATATCAGACTGTGTTTGATAAATGAGCTTCATGCAGTCATTTAGCACTCCAGCGTTTCTGTTAGCTAAAATTCTCTCATTAGAGAAGCTAAGCTGATAATACAATTACATGCTCTTTTAAAAAAGGTGAATGTGTTTAAACAGAATGTGCATTGAGTCTCATTACAGAACATCCCTGATGAGTTTTTGACAGTAATGACTATGCAAAAGAAATAAACTAATTAATACCAAATGATATAGACATACACAGTTTTCAAGCTATGTTTGTGTAGCTACTGTGTACTTTTGTGTAGATACTGTATGCATTTAAAGCAACATGAATATGTGCCATAAAACCTATTATATGAAAGATATGAAAAGAGGGTGTGAAGAGATCAGACGTTTGAATCAGAGCAGCCATCAGTCAGTGTTATAGTGCTGATATTGTGGGATGGGTGCAGTCTCACCCCTCCTGGGTGGCCGTCAGATGCCGTGACGATGAGGCGATACTGGTCGATGGTCTCTCTGTCCAGAGGTTTGGCCAGCAGCAGAAGACCTATACTGAACAGACACAAAACATGTTCATTAAATTTCTTATTTAACTGCTTGCCTCAGTCTAAATATTTTCATCTCATAATTTTTTTAAGCTTTATTTTCTGCCATTTAAAAAAAAATGTACACAGAGACAAACTGGGAAGGGACGTAGAGAGACAAAAAAAATGAATGAAATTAATTTTTCAGCTGCATACCCTCAGAAACCAACTACTGCCTTGATCAATATAAGCAAAGACCCTCACTGTACATATTATAGTATTGATTTTTTTCTTAATTATGCCTTTATAATTGTCTATTTTTATATTGAGGACAGTGATTAATCTCGTCATCTAAATTAAATGAGCATTTTATCCAAACTTTATTCAGTCATTCGCTCCTCTTTGTTGTTTCGAAACCTCTATGATTCTTTTCTTCAAACACAATGAATGGTGAAACATATACTATACATACTGTATATTTAAATATGGTGCTCCAAGATGAGTCACATCAGTGATGTCAAACTTCATTGGGTCTCATAACCCAATCATAATGCACCAAATTTGAATATGCTCATTTTCAAATTGCACAAATTAGATTTGAGGGCACTATTTTCAGTGCACAATATCTGTTCCATATATAAAGCTATTGCAGATATTCAGAGTTATGAATCATACAGGATATTTTTTATATGAATAATACCGGATATTTTTATGACACTTCTAACATGCTTTTTGACTTTTTTTTAATCTTGTCAGCAATTCCTCTTTCATTACATAGACAAAAATCAGCATGAATAAACTCTTAAACCCATACAGGTTTAGAACACAACATGAGGGTGAGTAAATGATGACAGAATTTTAAATTTTGGATGAACCATCTGTTTCATGCTGTGATTATTTTCATAATGATGAGGTAGGTCACATACTCAGAACGACCTGCAGAATCAGAAATTGTGCTTTGGAAATTGTATTCAGGATTAAATTTTTGGGTGTGTTTGTGTCGTGACCATACTTTGCATAATTCCTTTGATGAATCGGGTACTAAAACAACGCAGATGGTAAATAAACATTGGTATCTACGGGTGCAATTCAACAACCAGTATCTGTGATCATCCATGCTGAACTGCCGGCCACAGGGACGCCTTTATCATTTGTAGACCAATAGGATTTCTGCAAATCACCAGGCTCATCCTACACTGAGCTCACATTTATGTTTACGCGGCACGATGCAACGCAGTGCGTAAAAAGACAGTATAAGTCATTATAATCCATAATTATGTCCCCACTGGATGCAACGAATGCCTCGTTTATAATGGGTTTTCATGTTTTTGAATCATCGCTCCAGCCTGACAGGGCATCATCACAGTATAGTAGGGGCGTAACATTTCCGTCACACGCTTGAGGTATTCGGCCAATCATAACGCACTGGGTAGCTGGCCAATCACAGCACACCTTGCTTTTCAATAATGTACAGTATGTGGTAAATAATGTGTTTTTTGAACCTTAAACCGCATAAACACATTTCATTACACCAAATACACAAAATAATGTTCTTTTTAGCAACATCATATGACCCCTTTAAGTGTCATTAATAAACCAACTATATGATGTTACAATTAAATAAAGCCTTTCAATTTCTCACACAATCTCTCCCACCGTCAGAAACGTTCACACTGTAAGCTTGTTTGTGCTTTTGTCTCGTCTTCATGCCTCCAATGAGGGATTCTCATGCAGAGAGACGCAAATATATGTGCTGTATAGACAATATGCAATATATGAACTAGATATTCCCGTCCCTAAACTCACGCAATTGGATGAGTCAGTGTTGCTGTGTTGGGCTGGTCAGAATGCGCAAAAAAAGGGAATATTCTGAATGCAATACAGAGTCGGTGTGTTACACTTTTAGGGGAAATGTAGTTTTATAGGATCTGTATATTCTTAATTGATGAATTTTGTTTATTAATGAAAACTTACGTTCGTGAAAGGTTGAAAACCTGCTGTGGGTCACCGCTTGCTATCTGATAGGTGATCGGATCCAGCTCACGGTCTGTAGCCTGTGAAAATACACCAATTCACACTTAATTTACACTAGTAGTTCAGACAAGTACTGGCTGGTGAAAAATAAAATCAATGTAACATAAAATCAATTGCAGGATAACAATGCAAAGGCCAAGTCTGATTGAAGGGCATGATGAACAAATGTAGAATCAGTGACATTTTACAACATATATAAATTTAAAACCCTACACCTTTGCTAGATTTTCCAGGATATCTGCTGTTATTGATTATGCTGTTTTCTAAGTTTGACAGCTCAATCTGTCTGTGCACCTGAGTTGTCTAAAATCATATACTATTTTAATTATAAAATTATAATTAAGTGATATTGTTTCAAATCATGAAACAGGTTTGTGTTCCTGACTTTTTGATGATGCATATCCTCAGCACAGTTTGCAGTGCAGGCTGCAATATTAATATTACATTTTTTGTCTCTTAGAAATGCACATTTGACAGTAGCTTGAGTTGACAGTAGTAGTAGCTTGAGTTAGGATGCAGATGTAAATTTATGTTCATTAACAAAAACAGTAACATCTGTAAAAATGGTAAAAACCTAATTTTTATATGATAAAATTGTATTATTCTTTTATTAAAATGAATCATTGGTTTTCTATAATAGCATACATTTGGATCATGATAAGCACAGTAAACCACACAGATAGTACCTCAACACCACGGTAAAAATGTAGCTATATGGTTTCTAAGTATTTGCATGAAAAACAGTAGTCTAAATACATTTAGTATAAATTAACAAACGCTTAATCACAAAAAATACTGTAATTATATTCCATTACTCCTTTAATAAATGGTTACATTAATAATATAATAAAATTCAATATGAATATCCCACATTTATGTCACAATACCATGGTGCAGTTAGTGTTACCACAGTAAATCCATGGTAAATGAATGCGATTTGTAGATTGAAAAGCCTTCTGACTATACCGTTGCGCACAGTGTTTCTGCTGTTTGTCAGCACTGTTTCATCAGAGTTTAAACTAGTTTAAATCACTGAGTTAATTGTGTTCTTCACTAAAATCAAGCGCTTCACACTGGATCTCACAGCTCTGTTTAGTGCTCATGTGACTGAGACTCATCAGCGAGTAAACTCATCTGCTCTATTGAGCGCGCGCTGCCCTGCCATTTGAACTTTGAGCCGAGCAGATAAAATGGTCCTTTTTTTGGTGTATTTTATTTTATGGTTCTGTTGTCAGTCACAGCATGTCGGAGAAAATGCCTTTTGTGTCCCATGGCAAACAAAGTAAATTTTACATGATAAATAATGGTTAAACGATTGCAGAAATATTATTCATTTAAAGGGTTTAAAGTGTAGTCTTGTTGAACATTATGTATTCTTCAAAATGAGTTGGCAGCAGAAATCACACAGAACAGAATGAAATGTTATCATTTCATATTATGTAAATGAGTAAACTTCATTTAATAATGCAATTGAAAACATAATACATAAAACATAAGGATTAATTTTTAAGTCTGTAAAGTTGTTCATACGTACATAATTTATATTTTAGGTGTCATCAATATTGAACGTTTAAATGCTGTAAATATGTCAGTATTTTATGTTTTAGTGTCTGTGCAAACTTAAGTAAATGTACGTTTTGTAGAACCACATTTTACGTAAAATACATACAAATTCTAATGAGATCACATTGGAATGGCTTACAACATACTACTACTTCAGCAGTATCTTTACTGTGCATTCAGTAGTATGCAAATTTTCTGCATGCACAGAATACCCAGATGACCTACTACATTTATCAAAATGTGCAGTATACAAAAGGCCGTACTGCGTGGGATACTGCATCCCACAATGCAATGCATTCAGCTTGACCTTCTATTTCCAGTGTATCTGCCAACATCTTTTTTTGGCTCATAATTTGATCAGACTGCAAAGGCTTAAAGTGGAAGTGAAGCAGTCAGTTAAGTTAACATTATTTAGTAAAGTGATTTCCACTTTGATTAAAAAATATATAACAAACATGGTTAATGAAACCATTTTAAAGAAAAAAGGATGTTTTGTTATAGTTTTTAGAGCAAGGGCGCTGCCATCTTGCAGTACCACCGCGTGTGACGTCACGGGGCTGGTTTGCTCCGATGGCCAGTGAAGTAATAGAAGCATTTCTTTACATTTTGAACACACGAATTCTATTTTAACACACAAATAATTTGGTTTTCACCACAATTTGGATGAATATTCAACATCAAACTGTCTATATGCTAAGTTTTGATCGTGGTATCCCAAACATTGTTTTCATAATGCCAGGCGCAAGGTGATGTAATCAGACACCACTGTTAATTTTGTGTATTTTCTTAATAACAATGACTTCTCCAGGACTGAAAATATCATGTCCCTTTATTTATTTATTTATTGGGGTTTTTTCAGGCATTTGTCTTTCTAACAAATTGTATTTATTTTTTTCAGATGATGAAACATATCTAAATGTTTAACTGGTAGTATACTTTATTGAATACCATGGTACTCCTATAATGCATGGCTTAAAAACCAAGGTGCTCACGAGCCTAGTACTTTTTTTATAATATTTACATGCAATTTTCTCATAATATTTACAGATGAGGTCTTAGTTCTACTTGCTGAACTTTTTCTTTCTTTAAACTCAACACTCATTACTTTAAATCAACCATAACAGAAAATCCATGCTTCCATCCTTATTAAAATGCAGATTAGACTCTCAGTATTAATGAGGTTTAAAAGCAGCATAATATGATTATTCAAGATAAATTCTAAAACACAAAGGTACAGATCAAAGACTAAAGACTTTTGATTAGGTTCAAAGACATCATTTAGATGTAAACTCGTAACCCTGAATGTTATCATCTTTAAAAGCACCGGGGCAATAAATACACCCTGAGAGTAATTAATTAAAAGTCCTGCTAATAAGAAAGCGCCACCTCCATCCACGGCTCTCATTATTGAGAAAACTCTCCAGAAGCACTGATCCGTACCGCCATGTCTTTAGCTGCTTGGAGTGCTGAGGTATGGAAAAAATTCACACGCGCACACACACACACTCGAGGGCAGCAAATATGGCTTATAAAACACATCCAAGTGGCCCGGCTGACCTAGCTGTGAACTGTGACCTCATTTCAGGAGGATCCGGGCAGCTTGTTATTTCAAGAGAAACTACAGGCCTTTATGTGACTGATTTTCCTTTGAATCGTGACCCAGCCGTGACGGAATGAGACAAACACAGGCAGAGCAGAACATGAGCAGAATGCCAAAATAAAGCTGAGAGAATCGTTACTGAGAGAGAGTGAATATGCCATTGCCTGAGGGACAGAAAAGCACACATTATGTTCACTTTATATCATTTTGTCCCACTTTTTGTCAGCCCACCATGACTACACAAGCCACTTTCACAATGCAGATGAAAACTGTTGTCATTTGTCTTCTGAGCGCTTAATCAAACAGAGTTTGGTTATTTACAGAATAACAGAATTAAATACAGAAATACAGAATTAATCAGCCATTTTTAATCTGCATTGTGTTTATAGATCGAACTAAACAAGCTGCTGAACTGAACGTCAATGCACTGATGAACTCAGATGTATTTGTCACTTACAAAATGTGGCAAAAGAAAGAGAGCGAGAAAGAGAGCGACAGATGGACAGGTCATCTGAACAAATCAGTGTTGGGAAAGCTACTTTGAAACTGAATAATTTAAAGCAAATTAATTATAGAAAAGCTACTTACTTAAAAAAGCTTGGCTAAAGTTAAAAAAAGCAACAAGCAGCTAAGATGAAGCGCAAAATACAGTGAAGCTATTAAGGGGAGAATATATTCATGAATGCAACTGAGTTCAGATGATTAAAAGGCACAATATGTAAGATTTTTTCATTAAAATATCGAAAAACCACTAGAACAGTGTTAAAATAGACAGGTCATCTGAACAAATCAGTGTTGGGAAAGCTACTTTGAAACTGAATAATTTAAAGCAAATTAATTATAGAAAAGCTACTTACTTAAAAAAGCTTGGCTAAAGTTAAAAAAAGCAACAAGCAGCTAAGATGAAGCGCAAAATACAGTGAAGCTATTAAGGGGAGAATATATTAATGAATGCAACTGAGTTCAGATGATTAAAAGGCACAATATGTAAGATTTTTTCATGAAAATATCCAAAAACCACTAGAACAGTGTTAAAATATTTTGCTTACTTGTGTACTTACATTATCCCAAATGTTTCGAAGAATGTTTAAATCCAGAGAAATAAGCCATTTTAACTAGTGACATGGACCGTGTATATAGTGTTATTGTGTCGCCTGCCAATCCAGAGAAATAAGCCATTTTAACTAGTGACATGGACCGTGTCTATAGTGTCATTGTGTCGCCTGCCAATGACGCTTTAATATGTTGTGCTTTTTAATATACCGGTGACGACCTCACAGAGTAGCATTATAACAGAACTTTCAAATGTATCTAGTATGATAAAACAGCGCTGCTTTTTTTCCCCACATACGCACGACCGGAAGGAGCGGAAGCGGTCGACAGTGGCATAATAAAAGCTTCGCTGCTTTCTAGCCGTGTGTTACACTCATTCAGCGGCCTCGTTTCGCTTCGACGGCTTTCAGCCTCACCCTGCTTCATTCTACTACGTTAATAAATCATTAGCTCTTCCATGAACATGATTTCTGGCCGAGCCCCGTCGGATTGCATCGGCTGTGGGGATGAAGACAACACCTCCCACACTCAGTCACGGCGTCATCAAACTACGCCTTTGTCTATTTGTTTATTTTGAATACGCGCCCTCTAGCAGCGAAAATTACATATTGTGCCTTTAAGTTATTACCAATAAGAAAAAAAAAATACAGTGATGTTTTTAAATTAATGATCAACATCAAGAGTTACAGCACACTGTAATAAAAAAAACAGTAGAGTGCAATCAACCTCAAATTTACCCTAATTAAAACTAAAACTAAAACTAAATAAACCATAACCAAACTGCGGTTCATATGATCTGGTTCCTTTTTAAAAAGTTTCTTTATTGCCTGCTATACTTTATGCTCATTTAGCTGAATGACCGTTTGCTTCATTTTTCAATGCATTTTTCACTTATTTCTTCAGAAAAAAAATCCAGACGTTGTTGAGTTACATTAAATAATTTGACTACAATCTTAAGTTAATAATGAAACAAACATAGTGCCGAGTTCATTTCACACTCCAAATCACATTTAGAGTTCTCAACAAACACTCCACTATGAATAAATGAGTCATAAATGGCTTCTCATAAGCAAAGTGAGTGTTTCTGAGCTGTAGTGCTGTGTCCTCACCTGCAGGACGGTCTCTCCGGGCAGCATATTAGTGAAGATCTCCACACTGTAGGACACCTGACTGAAAGTGGGCGAACATAAAATTTATTACATATACTCTTTTGGACCATGAGGGTGAGGAAATGATGACAAAATTTTTGGGTGGGTGAACTACTTTTAATAATTTATTATTATTATTATTATTACTATGGAAATATTGTTTCTTTAATGAAATGATACTGAAAAAAAAAAACTAAAACTGCCAGTAGGTGGTGGTAAATGTCTTAATGATTAAGTCATCGAGTCATTTACTCATTCATTTGATTCTTTCAAATGACTGATTCATTCAGGAGTGAATACAACAAATTCTCAGTATGGGACAGCTTACAAATGTTATCGCCTAAAACTGCCACAGCAAACATTTGTTTAAAGTCTCCCACTGCATTCCTTTCAAAGACACTCAAAGTGCTGAGCTATATATATAAAATTGGAGTTTATGCTTAAAATATAAAATATTACGTAATTAATAAAACATTCATAAATTAATAAAATTATATAATTTTATATAAATTTTAAATTATAAAATTACAATTTAACTTAATTCATTAATTATTCATGCCTATCTTGTCTTGTTGGTTTAATTTAAGCATAAAACCAACTAAATGTATTTATTTATTTACCAAATGGCAGTTTATGCTTAAAATATAAAAATATTATATAATTAATATAATTATATATAATTTGACATTATAATATCAAATTATATATACAGTAACTTCATGCTTTATTCTTATATCTTTACTTGGAAACCAAGATTTTTTTTTCTGCGTACTGCTTTAGAACTGACCTGCTGATTTGATTTGATCTGTATCTGACGTATAGCACAGCATGTGGGCACTTCATACAACAAATTCTCAGTATGGGACAGCTTACAAATGTTATCGCCTAAAACTGCCACAGCAAACATTTGTTTAAAGTCTCCCACTGCATTCCTTTCAAAGACACTCAAAGTGCTGAGCTATATATATAAAATTGGAGTTTATGCTTAAAATATAAAATATTACGTAATTAATAAAACATTTATAAATTAATAAAATTATATAATTTTATATAAATTTTAAATTATAAAATTACAATTTAACTTAATTCATTAATTATTCATGCCTATCTTGTCTTGTTGGTTTAATTTAAGCATAAAACCAACTAAATTTATTTATTTATTTACCAAATGGCAGTTTATACTTAAAATATAAAAATATTATATACTTAATATAATTATATATATATACAGTAACTTCATGCTTTATTCTTATATATCTTTTGCAATTTTACTTGGAAACCAAGATTTTTTTTTCTGCGTACTGCTTTAGAACAGACCTGCTGATTTGATTTGATTTGATTTGATCTGTAACGTATAGCAACTTGGAAACCAAGATTTTTTTTTCTGCGTACTGCTTTAGAACAGACCTGCTGATTTGATTTGATTTGATTTGATCTGTATCTGACGTATAGCACAGCATGTGGGCACTTCATACAACAAATTCTCAGTATGGGACAGCTTACAAATGTTATCGCCTAAAACTGCCACAGCAAACATTTGTCCAAAGTCTCCCACTGCATTCCTTTCAAAGACACTCAAAGTGCTGAGCTAGCAGCCGTAGGTTACTCCGTTGTTCCTCGGCTTGCATTTCCATAAGCTTTTCCCCCAGAGAATCATGGCAGTAAATGTGGATCAAAGCCCAGCGGTTCCTCAGCTTGAGCAGGAGAGGAAAGCTTTGCATACGTAAATATTACGTTGGAGAACAGCTCCAGGCCAGCGGTTCCAGAGTGGTTTGTTCTGTATCCAGGTGGAGTTCTTGCATTGGCCCTAGGCAGGTTGACCACTCGATTGTGCTGTTATTAGACACTCGCTGGGTTTGACCTTAAGGAGTGTTTGGCTGCTGATTCTTGGAGATCAGTTTTAATTATTTCAGTTATTTCAAGTTAAACTAAATGAAAATGAGAAATGTTAGCTAAAGTAGCTTAAGTACACTAAGTTTTTTATATTTTATTTCAGGTAACTTCCACGGTTTTCCCTTCACAAAATATTATTTGTAATGCGCCTCCAATCGAATTATCACAAAGAGCTTTGTGCTTTGTAACCTCTGATAAGAAACTCAGCTTTCCAATTCTGTATATTTTATCACAACATTCAAAAAATAAATGCCGTTTTGACGAGCTTAAATGTGGTGTGACAGATCGCTGTAGCAGCTTCAGTTCAAGCGGCAGCGCGGAGCGCGAGTCTCTTCCACTTTAATAAAAGCGGAACATGAAAAATGAATGAACATCAGAACGTATGTTTAAAGATATCATGTCTCAGATAATCGCTCAAACAGCATTTCAACCGAAAGAAAGACGTCAAATAAAACGGCTCGTGAACAACATCACCTTATTTACTCATTTACTTTAGGATTTACTTTATTACTTTATAAATAAACACTAGAGGGAGCATAATTACTGTTAGTTATGTATGTTTGTTTGAATAAATCTGTCATGAAGGCAAGTTTTTATGAAAACTACCTTATGTGCAATTGAGTTGTATACAAACGATTATTATATCTGACAATAATAAATAGCATTGAATCTAGTAGTGTTGTTGTTCATTTTAACCTCTATTGTACCAAAAGAGAGAGTTCCCTGTATAGTTTACGGCATTAGTTGTAAGAGATTTATTTCACTGGCTACTGGTATCGGCAGATGGAATTCTGAATAATCGGCTATCGGTATTAGCTGAGAAATTTCATATCAGTGCATCTCTATATTTTTATGATTTTAGTTTTAGTTAAAGGGGTCATATGATGCGATTTCAAGTTTTCCTTTCTCTTTGGAGTGTTACAAGCTGTTCGTGAATAGATAAGATCCCTAAAGTTGCAAAGACTAAAGTCTCAAACCCAAAGAGATATTCTTTATAAAAGTTAAGACTTGTCCATGCCCTCCTAAAACGCCTCGTTCAAACACACCCCCACATGTCTACGTCACGATGTGGGAAGATTTGCATAACACCGCCCAAATGTTCACACAAAGAAAGAAGGCGTAACTTTATTGTTGCTGCCACCTCCGCCACCATGTTGTGAAGACTCTGTGTGTTTCGTTGCGATCGCTTTTCAGACCGATGAGCTTTGTAAAAATCTACGCGTTTCAGAAAGGCGGGGCATAGAGGAGAAACAATAATGTACAGTATGTGGAAAATAATGTGTTTTTTTAACCTTAAACCGCATAAACACATTTCATTACACCAAATACACAAAATAATGTTATTTTTAGCAACATTATATGACCCCTTTAACTATAATAATCCTGGTAAGTTCAGCTCTACAATAAGCTCTTCAGCTGTCCATCTGTTCCAGAATGCCTTTGAAAATGATGTGAGAGTACCTCAGATTAGTATAGTCTCAGAGATGCACGTATTCAATCAAACACAATCAAAAGGGATATTATGGTACAGCAATAAAAAGAGAAATTGAAGAGACAGAATAAAGTGCAAGTCCAAGACAGCATGAAAGACAGTGTCATCGGTTCTCTCAGTGATCAAAAACTTCACATTTTCCTTACAATAACTTTCGCCACAAAATTCAGAGAGTGAGAAACATCTCAGTGTCTGACTCAGAAAATTTCAGCCCCGTTTCTGTCATTTAAAGAGCATTTTTATCCAGTTCCCCCTCTGTGTGTCTGGCCCTAATGGATTTTGAATAGGCAATGAAAGTAAGAAATTGAATAAACAAAAAGCAAAACTAAAAAACATGCACTCAGAAAAACCCACATTAGAAGCTCCCGGAGGAAACCTTCAGAAGTTGCTCTTTCATAGCTCAGGAGACCTCAATAAAGTCTCACTTGTGTTTCATTTAAGATCTCCTCTGAAACTCCAGAGGAGAAACATGTGAGATTACTGACAAGCAGGAGACTTAAGCATCAGAGTCCATTTACTCACCATTTAATGTTGAGAAGAAACAACTGAGACATTAAAGAGATTTAAGTTTCGATTTTTCTTCTCAGCAGGTGTTGCTGGATGAAAGAGGGAGGATCAGAGGATGAAGGGAAGGGTAAAAGGTGTTTGTCAGTTAAAGGGAGGTAGGAGAATCGTGATGGGAATTCAAACTCTGGCCTGTCAGAGGATCAACTGTCCAGCTGAACCCCCGAGACGGGCTGATTGTGAATGACTGCTCACAGCCAAAAAGGACACACTGCATGAACATTTCACCCTCACTCCAAAAATAGATTTTTAAAAGGAATAGTTCAGCCCAAAAGACAGTTTTGCCACCTTTACTTGGCCCCGGTCACCATTCTCTATAAGTTTATGGAAGTGAGCAGCTCAAACTTTCTGCTAAACATATTCTTTTGCGTTCCACACTCTTCTTCATTGACACCTATTCCATGAAGAATATTTAACATTCATATGTTTCCATTGCACAAAATGTTCTTTACAGTGGAAAAAGGTTCTTTTGATCATCAAATATTCTTCACGCTAAGAAAAAATTGTTCTTTTAAGAACTGTTAACTGAAAGGTTCTTTGGGGAATGAAAAATGGTTCTTCTATTACATCATTGCGAAATTACACTTTTTTAAGAGTGCACAGAATAAAGTCATACAGGTTTTTTAACAAGATGAGGTGAGTAAATGATGACAGAATTTTCACATTTGGATGAACATTAGCATTAAAAACACACTGCAGGGAAGTGGAGTTTGATTGTGTTGGTCTCTCTCCAGGCCTAATAACTCTACAGCTAATTTCCTTTCATGTATTTGTTTCAGCCTGTTTGTTCTTTATAAAAAAAAACCTATTAAATGTGATTGGGTCTCTGTTTTGTGCTGATAAGCAGACTATTGTTAAGCCTTTCAAATGGATTAACACTGATTATCAGAACTCAAATCATCACGATCTCGCAGTGAGCAGGGGTGTGTCCAGGCGAGTGCGATTTGATTGGCCATCCCAAAATTTTAAACTATGATTGGCCAAAGCCAGTGGCCTATGTCATAAAGTGACATATGTAATGCTATAAAGCTATTCCCCGATTCTCTTGACCCAAATTAAGGTAGTTCAC